TCTCTCTCTCTCTCTCTCTCTCTCTCTCTCTCTCTCTCTCTCTCTCTCTCTCTCTCTCTCGTAGAACACAAGAAACCTTCGGTTGCGAAATGCAGAGGAAGGGCAATCGAAAGAGATCCTGGCGGCGATATTACTCGGCTTGAGATCCACCCTCTTCGGTTGCTGGTGAATATCCTCGTCGAAAGCTTCTCCCGTGTATAAAGGATGTAATTTAAGTCCGCCAGGATATACACAGAGCATCCCTCTGTGATCCTCTTTTCTTTAGATTTTCTTTTCCACTGTCTTCTTCTTCTTCTTCTTTTTCTTTTCCTCCTCTCTCTTTCTCTTTCGTTCAGTTTTTTATGATCCTTCGACGATGCTTCGCAATTGGGGGATGCTTTTCCAAGTCGATCTTGCGTGAAATCCAAGAGGAAGTTGGATCCAGTTTGAATTTATATTGGTTTTTTTTTTTGAGGGTTTTAATGGGGATTCTTCTTTATTTAAATTCTTACATTATGATTCTATTGTAATTGGTAATACGATACGTTTCATGTTTCTATTGACTCTTGAATTGGTATCACAAATGCAATTTCTTCCTCAAATAAATGTTTTTATGTAACATTTTTTAAATTGATATTTTGTTTGTTTTATTAAAAAAAAAAAAAAAAACAAAAGCATTTCGCTTAAGTTTCGTATATTGTCAAAGATTTTATTACAATATATCAGTATGGGTCAAAATCTATATTGTCTCGTATTTTTATCATCTTTAAATCTAACCTAACCTCACTTAACTTCAGTGTTTCATATTCCTGCCATGCATCTTTTTTTATGATTTACGAATGGTCTAAAATTTTATGATTTATATTCGAGAGATTGATAAAATCATAGCAATAAATTCTACAACAAATGCTACAACGATTTGCCACTTTAAAAAAAAAAAGATAGGATAACAGTTCAAAACAGTTGAAACAAACTATAAGTTGTTTCTCAAGCTAAAAATTAAAGGATAAATAATGTCCCTCGGCGTGGCTCAAGATATTCCACCACACTTTATTCCTCTTGGAAGAAAAGTTTCGCGATTACTCTCGCGAAATCCAATTAAGACGTCATTCCTGTTATTTCAGACACAATTTTTTTCAACCACTATTTTAATATTTACATACAAAAGTCAGTACGAGATGCTCAAAAAGAATCGATCACTTGTTTCGAGACGATATTTCGAGGGAAAGAGGGGAAAGTTAAAAATTACGAGAATGCTTGAGAAAAGTTTCGAAACGATTGTAATAAGCTATTGGATTGGTGGATCGTTAGGATGGTAGAAGTAATCTGATTAAAAGAGAAGGATTGATCTATTTACGAATTTGCATCATTTTTTGTAATTAATGCAAAGTATACTTGAGTGGAGAAATAATATAGTGATTTGGAGGTTGTAAAAGATAAAATGAATGGATTTTAATAAAGAATTTTTTTATTTCGGATCGTAAAACTGAATGATGTCGAAACATGTAAGCAGTTTCGTAAAAATTTAATGTAATAAGTTTTATAAGCAGAGAGGATGAACCTATAAAGCGAACAGATGTGAATCTGTAATTAGCTTTGGAACAATGATTAAATTTTATTAACTTTTTAGAAACTTGATCGAGAGAGACAGATCTTATACAGTTATATTATATTATATATATTATATTATATAAGTATCTACAAAACTTATAATTAGACATAAAATAACAAATATTACAAAAGATTAAAAAAGAATATATTTAAAAACTACATATTAAAAATTATTAATTGATATTCAAAAAATTATTTTTCTTACAAAATTTTATCAGCAAAATTCTCCAAATTTTGTGCCAGATCTGGATTAAATTTTCTTTTCAATTATTTATTACACATATTTGCAAAGAAAATATAAATATTAATTTATAGGTTAAGTACATCGATGATCACTTCACTAACGTGAAGTTATTTCTAATTCGAATCAAACGATTCGGATGAGAGGGAAGCGATTGGTTTGAGGTTAGATTTTCACAGTAGATGGCGCTCATAGGCGAAATTATGCATCTCGTAGCGACAAATTCTAGCGTCACGGATCGTAAACGGATCAACGTAATTTACGATCACGAACGCGTCTAATTCCGATCGCACCTGTTCGATCAATAGAACGATTGATTTATCGAAATCTAAGAGGACAATGGCGCCAACCAACGATAATAAACCGTTCCATTGTTTAATAGAGGAAATCGCATAGGTATAGCCATCACTGAGCGACAAATTAATTATCCGTTCCACATAAATTTCTTGATATAGGTTATCTCATCGAACTTTTTACTGTAATGAGTGAATTTAAGAAAATTGATTTAAAAAAATTGTGATTATGAGTGTATTTAATTGTATTAAATGTATCATAATATTTAATTAAGATTATGTTTGATTATAATATATATAGATAATGAAATATCTATATATATGAAATTTTACATTTTTTATTAAATTTAAACTTTTTTTGATTAGATTAGAAAATTTTTGGTAACTATTTTATAATAGAATTATATGTATTTTATGTTATATGCTTTTTAAGAATTAGATATTTTCTAAAAATGTTAACTCGAAGCATTACTCGTTTATGTTATTATGTTATTGAAGGTTAGGTTTAACGTAATTTTTATTTGCAGGTTAAAATAAATTTTTCCACGAAATGTTCGTTTCATTACGATTAAACTACTTCGAAGAAATAAATTTCGAAGAACAGAGTAAAAATAAAATTCTGTGGAATTATTCGAATACAAAATAATACATGAAAGGAAGCATAGTTAGATGGATGGTAACAACTGAAATTAGAATGATATCGAAGAATAGAGTAGATTAACCGGGCTTTGAAATTCAGAAATTCACGTAAAAGTAACGGAAAATGAATGGAAGAAGAGGAGTATCGACAATTGTAGAAATCGAGATAACCACGATCCTGGCCTCGAATGCGCAGGAAGCCCGATAATAACCGGAAGTGCACCGAGACGAGTCCATTACCAACCTGTCCTGAAATGCTGGGCTCGTTTCGCTTGGTCCCTGAAAATTAGCAACGACTAACGAGCCCCGTTATCTCCATACCGATTTCATCGTGCGAGATTCACATTTCTCATCTAATTTCCTTCTCAAGTTGAAGATTAAACGAGAAACTCGAAACTTTGGTTTTCGAAAAATTTAAAATTTCTTATTATAAATGTCGGTAAGATAGGATTATAGTATATAGGATTATATAAACTAGATTTAAATGGAATTAAAATTTAATATAAGTTAGATTTTGAACTTTTGAACATTTAATTTTAGGTTTATTTAAGAAGTATTGGGGAAATAAGTTTATTAAGTTAAAATTTTGAACACGATTAAAATATGTATTTAATATGAATGATAATTTGATCAATATTATAATTCTCTTAAACGTTAGATTTATAGGGTAAGTTAATTCAACTTCAATTTGACTTAGATTAATTTTGATTTGTACTTTTATCATGATTAAAATATTTTATATAATAATTTTATTATTATATTTTAACTAGAAAGTTAAATCTATGTTATAATAATATACCTTTAGTTAAGTTAGAGTGTTAAACTTAAAATGTGGCCAGAATCTTTGATTTGAAGTAGAATATTAAATTTGAATTATCACATTACATATATTAAATTTAAATTAGATTTAACTCAGACACAATTGTGATATGTAAAATTATGTTTGAATAATTTTTAAATTTGATCTAAAATTGCGCATTAAAATCAGATTTAAGTTAAAATTCCATTGATAATGATTTTTCATTGATTCATTCATTAATAAAATTATTATATAGAAAAAATTAGTTTATTTCTTACATCAATATTCATGTGAATCTATATAACATTTCCCAGGTTTTCAAAAACTTGAAATATCTTCGATTCTCATGAAATAAGAGCAACAAGTGGCACATAGTATTTATTATCCTTCTGTTTGCTCCAAGTTCTTCCAGCTGACTAATGCGACGCTTCACTACTAGACGTGTCTGTCAGTAATAAAGGTCGACGCTCTATCGAACGATCTGAGTAGTCGCGGTACGCCTCGTGTCAGACTGCCGCTAGTGATGGTTAACATTTTAAGGTCAGCCAGCGACGGGTTGAAAGCTGAATTATTGAAATAGTAACGATTCATCTTCGAGCGTGCAGAATTTATTCAAATTGAAAGAGATATTAATCCTGTGAATCGTACATGGGTGAGAAATTCATATTAAAAATAAAATATTACGAAATTAATTATAAATTGTTGTTAATAATGAATAGAATCTTTATATTTTTATGTGACATTTCGTTAGAATAATTCTTTTATTATTATTCTTTTTTATATATTAAAAATTTTTCATAGTTTTATTGAAACGTTTCTGAAAAATGTTCAGAGTGAATATATGAAATAAATAAAATTATTCTAAGTTATAAAATTTTTAATAAAATAAATAATGAAATATAATCATTGATCAATTTATATCATTATCAATCAAGATCAAGATCAAGATAAAAATAAATTTATTATACTTTTTTCAATATACAAAAATATAAAAGTAATCAAATTGAAAAATATATTGGAATTAAATATATAAAAATAATATATAAAAATATATAAAATAATATATATAATAATATATAAAAAATATATAAAAATAATAAACTTTATAATAAATTTCTTATTGAAATAAAAAAAAAATTAAACATTTAATTATGGTATAAAGAGTTAATATATTTAATATAGAAATCATTCTTCTCAGTCTCCACGAAAACTTTCCCCTTTAACAATACTTAGCCCGGATGAACTTGCCAATTCTGTGAAATTAAAGTTCAAACATCCCTCAGAATGCCATTCGAACGACGATTCATTATTCCAGAAAATACACTTCATTTTCTAACTTTTTCCGTCTGTAGAAACTCTTTCTGCCTTCCCCTTACCCCTTTCTTGATGCACAAACTTTTTCCACCTATGCTTTCCTCATTTCATGTCATCTAGCCTCGC